AAATGAAACCGAGATGTGATGATTAAATTTTCAGTAATAGCAACAAACAATGGAACCAACACTAGGTTCTAAACTAGTTTTGGAACCGAAAATTTTGAACATCAAGTGAAAAACCAATCAAAAAGGCAAGAATAAGAGCAGACTTCAAGGGTTGTTGGTAAGCATGATCAAAACTCCTAAAGCTTTGCATTAATTGATGAATGAGGCAAAACAGGATTGCTTTTTTCAATTTAAGAAAGATTAGACTATTGGGATTGTGGGTCCTCCAAACCTTGTAACCATTAGTAGTAATAACTGAATAGAAAAACACAATGTAACTTTTTTTTTTTTTATTTCACCAGCAGAGAGAATATTATTAATGAAATACAATGAGTACTCTAAATCCATTTATACCAAAATACAAACAGATGTAGCTACCAAATTACAAGCATTTCTACAAAGCAAAACTACTGTACAACTATCAACCACCTCGAATATTTACTCCATTTTCATAACCTCCCCATGCCGAGTACCAGCACACTCTCATAACTTTATTTTGACCAATCCTTCCTTACTAATATTGACTTTAAACAAAACAGTGGGTTTTGCACCCAGTTTGAATATACAAAAAACTACAACCCACAACTCTACCGCTAGTCCAACAGAGCATTCTTGAATTAAATCAAAAAGCTTATCCATACTAACAGGATAATTTTTATGAAAAATTATAGCAACTTAGAAGATAACAAGACTAAATAGGAAGCATTGATATGTCTTGTGAAATGTTGTTTGGCTTTAGCTTATCTACATTTTTTTCTGCTATTGCTTTGTAGACTGTGGTCTTCTTGGGGAGCAATAGATTCCAACCGTTCTTGACTTCTTTAAAAGGGATGGATAAAAGTACTTCCAGTCCTCCAAAAATGAAATTTCAAGAGGCTTTATAGACTGGTCTTTTTAAGGAGCCTTGTTATAATTCTATTCCCAAGGTGTCTAAATCTTCCAGATCAACCAACCTGTCCATTATATGGATATTTGAAAGGACTAAATCAAGAAATTGATATAATATAATGTAATAGTCTTAAAAGAAAAGTAAAATAACCAGAGTACCATGTGAAGATATGTTTCTGAGTTCTCTGGAAAATCAAAATTAATGACAACATTCATAGCTTGAATATCTATACCCCTAGTAAATAGATCTGAAAAGGAAAAAAGTTTGTTATTAGGAAATCATTTGATATATACTACAAGACTGTTGATAACTAGGAGGTTAATTCTCCCAACATAAACACTGGATGCATATAAGTTCATATAAAATCGATTTCAACCACATGCAAGACACATGGAAGACCTTAATCTTCAAGCTTAACTTAGAATTTATTTTTGGCAATTCATAGACGCTAATTTCTTCTTCTATGTAATTCAAATAAAAAATAACTCGTGACAGTGCAACAAAAGTTTACGCAAAGCCATATATAATTTTAAGAAAATCATAGTAGATAAGACATTGGAAATTTATCACAAATATTCCTATGTACTCTTCAAAAAAAAAAAATCTTTTAATAGATTAACATCAGAAGGAGAGTTTGATAGCAAAACATTCCTATATACTCTAAAGTTTTATACATCAAAGAGTAAATTGAAGAAATCACAGCCACAATAAATCAAATAGTAAACAAGAAATTGGCCAACAAAAAAGAAGGAAATCGAAAGCAAAGCAAATTAAAAGGAAGTCAAAGAGAAAATCAAAACCAAGAAAATCAAAAAGGAAACCATCAAACCAAATAAAGATGATCAATGAAATTTGAGGAGTAGAAGGAAACTGAAGTCTCATCTTCATCTTCCTCTTTTTTGGTTGGTTCTCCTTTTCATTGTCTTTGATTTGGGACGTAAGGATTTAGTTATTTGTCTTCCTCCTCTAAGATTTGGTTATTTCTCCTCTTTGATGTCATTGGTTATCCTCTTCCTCATCCTTGATTTGGATGGTTAGGGTTGGGGCTCAGGAGTGATGAAGATGGAAGAGAAATTGATGGTTGGAGTGATGAAGACGGAAGAGAGATCAATATTGATAGATTAAAATTTTTACCTTTTTAATAAAAACCCAAATCAGTCATTTAATTCAGTCTATGTAGCAAGTGTGTTGTGTCTGTATATGTGGCCAGCCACATAAGTGGTCCTCCAATTTCGTCTCACAGAAATCATCCCTTGTATCATTATTCTTGGTGAGAAGTGCCATATATCTTGCTTTAAGTAAGGCAAAATAGTAGACACTACAAAAAAAAAAAACCCATATTTAGTTACTAAATTATTGATCACTAAATTCTTACTTTTCATTACAAGTTAGAATTAGTGATGAAATTTAAATCGTTAATAAAACTCTTATCACTAATGCTCTTAGTGACAAATTTAATACTTGTCACAGAAAAAAATTTTATAGTGATAAAAAAAATTGACATTGTTAATGGGTTATTTGTAACAATTGTATTCATCACATAGGTTACAATTGAGTGAAAAGAAAATACATCACAAATGCAATTAGGTATCTATGATAAAATATTTAGTCATTAATTATTTAAATCAATATTGAACATATTTTTGTCATTACAACATATGTTTGTAACAAAAACAAAAAGACTTGTCACTAATGTAATATCCATGTCACTAATTATTTAAACTAATATTAAACCAAGAGGGTATTTGTGTAATTATAACATTTATCTTTGATAAAAATTTTATCACAAAAAATGTGTATGACAACTAATTTTAGTACCAAAAGATACTTATAGCTAATATCTAAAAAAATAAAATTTTGATAATAAGTAGGTTTAAATACAATAGTACTTTCCAATAAAAAAATACAATAGTACTTTGATTTTACAAATATTAAATTAAAATAATCAGTTGATAAATATTAATTTTAATTATATCCTTTAGTCAAATTACATAATTAACTAATATAAAAAGATAACATACACACATAAAATTTAAATATTGGTTGAAACTTCCATATCATTTTTGTCTTTGATGTGGTTTAGTTAAATATTATCAGTAAATAGGGTAAATCACATATTGTTTATAGATTTATCTAACTTGTGTTTTAAAAAACAAGTTAAGGGTGTAATTAATACACCTTTTTTATATTAATTAGTATAGAAAATAACAAAGACTAACATTAATTTTATCATTAATACTACATGTATTGTTTTAATTGGATGATTGATTACTGGCACAAGTGATTGATTAAGGGCACAAGTTAAGGGTGTAATTAATATACCTTTTTTATATTAATTGATATAGAAAATAACAAAAACTAACATTAATTTTATCATTAATGCCACATGTATTGTCACTACTACAAAAAAGCCTATTTTCTAGCGCATTTTGCACTAGAAAATACTTAAAATGCACTGAAAAATTATTAC